TTATTTATTTATTTATTTATTTATTTATTTATTTATTTATTTATTGATTTGATTTGATTTGATTTGATTTGATTTTTACTCCTCTAGACTAGACAACGTCTACTCGGGGCGGCTAAAAAATTTTATTTATTTATTTAATTACAATTGTTCTTGTGAACAGTGGGACAAACTATAAGTCTACCAAGAGAAAGTATACTTGTCAGTATAAGCAATGACCATCAATCAACCTGGAATGCAAAATAGTTGGAGTTTAAGAATTAATTGGACTGTTTTTAATATAAAATTCACACAGACAACGTCTACTCGGGGCGGCTAAAAAATTTTATTTATTTATTTAATTACAATTGTTCTTGTGAACAGTGGGACAAACTATAAGTCTACCAAGAGAAAGTATACTTGTCAGTATAAGCAATGACCATCAATCAACCTGGAATGCAAAATAGTTGGAGTTTAAGAATTAATTGGACTGTTTTTAATATAAAATTCACACAGTCCTGTTCATCATGCTCAGTTCAATTCACAGAGACAGGATCCAGTGATGATCTCTCTCTGGATTTCACTAATTTAGGACCTTGATAATTCAGTGGCCCTCCTCCTTCCTGCAGGTCTCAGTGAACCCCTCTCTTTCTGCACATTAAAACTTACCCCAGAAAGCTGGGGAAGCTACTCACAAATCTTTCAGCAGTTCGAATCCACACAATGGAGTGAGTTCCCATCACTTTTCCCAGCTCTTGCCAGTTCAAAAGTATGTAAAAATGCAAGTAGATAAATAAGTACCACTATGGTGGGAAGGTAACAGCATTCCGTGTCTAGTTGCGCTGGCCACATGACCATGGAAACTATCTATGAACAAACGCTGGCTCTATGGCTTGGAAACAGGGATGAGCACCGCCCCCTAGAGTCAGACATGACTGGACAAATTGTCAAGGGGAACCTTTACCTTTACCTATGCATGGAGTGTAATGCTCTACTCATATAGCAGTAGAATCCTGGCTTTATTATTATTTACTGTGTTAACTCTCTTTTCATCCTTTCAGCACTAGCTCCACATGGAAAATATATGAATCCACACCTCACAGGGTCTTTGGTGTATCTATTTATGAGGATGTTTAGAGCATCTGTGTGCCCAGAGATGCAAATGATTATGACTGCTGTGGAAAAATATGATACTGCAAATCTGTTTTGATTTTTTTTTCTGAAATTAATATTTTTGAATATATAAATATTTAAAAGGGAGTTGTTTTCTACATTTTATTTCCACATACAAAGAGATCCCAAAAGCTACTATACCAGTGATAAACAGTTGTACTTCTGTAGTCTCCTTGAGTTCCAGTAGTATATTTGCATAATTCCACTCTGAATCAAATGGTGGTTATGCTGGCTGTTGCATAAATGTAGAATAGTAGACTCTGAATGAGCAGTCTTTGGCTTATTTTCATTTATAGATACTGAGAATTTATTAAAGTGTCTCTTTTACACAAACATATTTGTTTGGAAATCCAGTGCATTTGTTGGCAATAGAAAGAGAAATGAAGTTAAAGATGTCTTCACAAATACTCCAAAGCAATTTAACTTTTAGTGAACTGTGGAAGTTGTGCTGCTGTTGTAAAGTGGCTTTTAAATTTAATTTTAACAGTTCAAGACGGAAAGTGGAATATCAAGCAGAAATTCAGGTCTTGCAGAAAAATATCCGTAGACTGGAAGAGCACTTAAAAAAAGTCAACAAGGAACTTTATGCGGCCGAACTGGCTTTTGATGAAGCCAAGACAAAACTGGAGGAATTGGAGCAAACCATCACTAAAGACAAAATGCGTTTCAAGGTTGTTTGAAATCATTCTCTTATTATACTGGAACCTAGGGTTACCCACTGGAACTGAATGGTATGAAATTTAGGACAGGTACAAGGAGGTACCTTTTTACACAGCATGTAGTTAAGCTGTGGAATTCATTGTTTCAAGATGTCATGATGTATTGGATAGCTTATAAGGGGACTGGATAAATTAATGGAGATAAGGGCTGTCAATGGCTTCTGATTAGGATGACTATGTATCACCTGAAATATAAAAGGTTAGTATGCCTCTGTAGATCAATTGAAGATGAAATGAAGGGCCCCAATTGCACTCATGTCCCGCTTATGGGTCTCCCATAGGAAGCTGATTGGCTCCTATGTGATGTGAATACAGTGGAACCTCTACTTAAGAACTTAATCCGTTTTGGAATGGTGTTCTTAAGTTGAAACGTTCTTAAGTTGAAGCAAAATTTCCCATAGGAATGGACTGAAAACCAATTAATCTGTTCTGGCTGTTTTTTTTATGTAGAGGTGCGTTTGTACATTGAAGCATTACTTCCCATAGGTACTAATGCAAAGCTGGTTAATACGTACTCTACCATTAGGGGGAGAATTTTTTTTAATCTAAGATGACCTAAGGTTAAAAAAAGAGCAGGAAAGGTTTTTTTTCCTGTTCTTATCTTGGATTTCTGTTCTCAAGTAGAAGCAAAATTTAGCAAATGGAGCTGTTCTTAAGTTGGATTGTTCTTAAGTAGGGACGTTCTTAAGTAGAGACCCCACTGTACTGGACTAGATAGGTCTTTTGTTTTATTTGCATGCTTCTTCTTTTTCTATGCTGGAATAGGCTACATGAACTTCTATCTACAATTTGTTTGGGATAATTGTATAAATACATCCATTTGCAGTTCTTCCACCCACTGATAGAAGGAATTGGGGAAGGGATGTGGTTATTCTCTCGCATCCCTGACAGCTTTCTATGGCACCTACTACACTTTTCTGGAGAAAATTTTCAGGCAGTATTAGAGGCTGCGTGTTTGTGAGAAAGTATCTAAAATAGCCTTCCTGTACTTTGCCCTCTCACTCCGGAATAATGTGGTGAGACGCAGGTGATGGGTGTAAGGCCACACTTTATTAAATCAACATACCATAACTTATGGCTTAGAAAACAGGGGCCTGTGGTAGTGCAGTATCAGGTTTTGTGCCGAAGGTCTCACAGGACCCCCTCACAAACCTAAATCGGCAAGTCCCACGGCCCATTGTCATGCTGTTCCTAAGACAGCATGAACCTGGCTGGTGAAATATCAAGCCCCTGTGTGCATGCAAGCCCCCAGCCTTTGGTGGCCCTAAGCCCAGGGAGGGCCCCAGCAGGTCTTTCCTCCCAGCACTGTAAACTCACGATCCACGGCACCGAAAGTTCAGACCTGCTGTGCACTGTTTGAACTCCATGGGCACTCACTGATTCAGTTTCCTTCCCCATTACCCACCATGGAATGGGCAAACTTGCTATGCTGCATTCCCCCATCCAGCCAAAAATTTCAGCATGCAGGCCCCTAGAAAGATCCCTCAAGAAAATCTCTAAACGAGCCTCAGATAAATGAACCCCATCACCTCTATAAAGTTCCATTTGGTTCAATCAGATCTCTGGGTGTCCTGTTACTGATCCTAAGCCATTAACCTTAGCTCTGCAAAATTCCTTATTAACTTTCCTAGGTGCTCTATTTATGCAACTAGCATTGCAGTCGGCAATCCAACTATGCCGAGGAATAATCATGGACCAAACTATTCATGAAAACAGGAACTTTGTCTTCCAGCTCCTCAGCCACAATGTCCAGCACAAGGGACTTGCCACTTCTCCTGGCCAAATCATTACCCTCCAGATGAACCAACAACACATCTGGAGGTACACCAGCTGCCGCTGTGTCTGCCATGCCTGAAAAATTGCCCAAAGCATGCCCCTCCGGGCATGCCATTTCAAGCTTGCTGCTGGTTGCAGTCCCAAATCTCGGCCCCATGCCATCCTGCAGCATAATCTGCTGCCCAGTGAATGAAACTGTGACCCAGCAACAGGATCCTCAATTTCTGTTTGGGTTGCTCTGTTTCTGAAAGAGACAAGGATCGTGGCAGCAGCTTACAACTGCAGCAAGTTTTGCACGTAAAGTTTGTATCTATGGGAGGACCATCTCCCCACCTTCCTGATCTCCTCTGTGCCATATCCTAGCATGCCGGCAGTAGACTGTGTCCCAATGTGAAATGAGTGGGTTCCAAAGTGCCATCCAGCCAAACCTACTCAATCCAAAGTAGCTCCAGTTACCTTCCAAAATTGGTATTTTGTTAGTGGGGTGCTGTCACTATGACAAGATAAGTAGCCCTGATCTCCCCGCTTTTCTTAAGGTAATCCTCTACTGCCCTAACTGGGCATACAGTGGTGCCCCGCATAACGAGGGCCCCGTTTAACGACGAATCCACATAGCGACGCGTTCTTTGCGATCACAAAAGCGATTGCATTGCAATGTTTTAAATGGCTAAACATTGCATTGCGATGATCGGTAAGCGTTTTGCTTACTGATTTTCACATTGCGATGTTTAGAAACCAGCTGATTGGTGGTTCCAAAATGGCCGCCGGGTTAAAAAATGGCCGCCCGTTCCATTTTTGCGCCCTTTCCTCGCTTACCGGGCAGCGAAAATGGCGGCTGGATGGAGGATTTCCGCATAGCGGTGAGTTTTTCCCCCATAGGAACACATTAAACGTGTTTTAATGCATTCCTATGGGGTTTTTTTCCCTGCATAGTGACGAATCCAGATAGCGACAACTTTTTCGGAACGCATTATTGTCGCTATGTGGGGCACCACTGTATTTCTAAAATGGAACAAATCCCTAGTGAGATAAAGGCTCCTTTGCCTAATTGATCTATCTTAGATCTCAGGATATGTCTTCAGATCTCTAGTGAACATATAATGATAATGTGGCAACCTATAACACATGTGTTCTAAAATGATACTTAAGTCCTCCACTTTCTGAGATTATTACAGGGATTAACATTGCATTTTCCCCTCAACCAAAGCAGGATTTAATATGCAGTGTTATATAATGAGTAGAGTTTGTTGTAATGGGAGCTTGGATCTGGGAGATCTGTATTCAGATCTGTAGAGCCTACTCTTTGTTTGGATGGGACAAAATTTATTATTATTCTTATTAATATTCAAGTACCAGAAGCAAATCCTATTTTCCCTGTATTTTGTACCACTTCATTTTCATGTTTTTGAACAACATTTTAATATTATTCTGTTTCCCCAAAAATAAGACAGGGTCTTATATTAATTTTTGCTCCAAAACATGCATTAGCGCTTATTTTCAGGGGATGCTTTGTTTTTTTCATGTACAATCTATGTTTATTCAAATACAGTCATGTGATCTTCTGGTTGCTGCACAATGGTGGAGGGTGGGCTTTCAGTTAACTAGGGCTTATTTTTGGGGTAGGGCTTATATTACAAGCATCCTGAAAAATCATACTAGGGCTTATTTTCAGATTAGGTCTTATTTTTAGGGAAACAGGGTAGTTTAGTAACATTTTTGTTGTTTAGTCATTAAGTTGTGTCTGACTCTTCGTGACCCCATGGACCAGAACACAACAGGCCCTCCTGTTTTCCACTGACTCCCGGAGTTTGGTCAAATCCATGTTGGTAGCTTCGGTGGCACTGTCCAACCATCTCGTCCTCTGTCGTCCCCTTCTCCTCTTGCCTTCACACCTTCCCAAGATCAGGGGCTTTTCCAGGGAGTTTTATCTTCTCTTGAGATGGCCAAAGTATTGGAGCCTCAGCTTCAGGATCTGTCCTTCCAGTGAGCACTCAGGGTTGATTTCCTTCAGAATGGATAGGTTTGTTCTCCTTGCATTCCAGGGGACTCTCAATTATGGGGACTCCTCCAGCACCACAATTCAAAAGCATCAATTCTTTGGCGGTCAGCCTTCCATACATCACTACTGGAAAAACCATAGCTTTGACTATGCGAACCTTTGTCGGCAAGGTGAGGTCTCTGCTTTTTAAGATGTTGTCTAGGTTTGTCATCGCTTTCCTCCCAAGAAGCAGGTGTCTTTTAATTTTGTGGCTGCTGTCACCATCTGCAGTGATCATAGAGCCCAAGAAGGTAAAATCTGCCAGTGCCTCCATATCTTCCCCTTCTATTTGCCAGGATGTAACAGGACCAGTTCAGTAACATACTTCTATATAGTTTAAATAACATACTTTTTTTAAAAATGGAATATCTATTTGTTCCACTTCTACCTGTGTTTTATTTGTTCTAACCAGTTACTTCATTTTTCAAATCATTTTTTCTTTGTAGAACTTGGAAGAAAATGTGAAAAAACAAATCAGAGATGAAGTTAGTGCTTGGAAGCTGACCCAGGTAAGGAAAACAATAGATTTCAATTCATTGTTTAAATGTACATTTTGCACATTAAGTTTCTTTCTTTACTCACTGTTTTGAGATTACATTCACGTCTCTCACTAGTTCATAGTGTCATTCTGTGAAGAACCAGAGATGCACAGATGGCACTAAAATAATGAAGGCACAATTTTTCCTTGCACATGTAACAAGAAATGTGCAGAAAGGGAAGGGTAAGAGTTATTATGGGAGATGCACATTGGCTTCCCGTTGCCTTTAATATTTTTGCACATATTTCTGTCTATTTGCTTGCACCAAAGTGGGGGGAAGGGTACAAACTGGGCATTATTAAGCCCTAGGGGAGTCCTCTATATGTGGGCGCAGTGCCCTCATGCCCTAATTGTTTGTAAGATATAGGGAATTTCTGACTTCATTTCACAGGTCATTAACCTAGCTAAGTGTTTTCCAGGTCATTAACCCAGCTTGCAACAAAGTTCATAAATGTTACCAGCTTATGAAAAAAGTAGTTTGCCTTCTGCTGTATGCAGAAGCTTGAAAATGATGTTTCAAAAACAAAACAAACAAAAAACCTTGATGCAGATATTCCCTAAAGCACAAACTAAAATTACAGTACTCGGATTTGAAAAAGAAACACAAAAGCAAAAAAAATATTTTGGATTTTTCTAAAAATGTTTATGCATCCCCAAAGAACCATGAAGGAAGACAGAAAAATGATAGTTTCCCTTATGTAAGGCCCTCTGGTTCTTGGTTCTTCGTACTATTTTTAAGTAGCTTTAGAAACATTTTTTGTGTTTGTGTATCAAACCAAAGTAGTAGCTCCTTGCAAACACACACACATACAAAGAATATTTGCTGGTAGATCTATGCATCCAATTCAATACATGTACCCACAGAAGAAATCTATCCATAAGTGAACAACCCCATGTGCCCTCAGTATCTGTTCTGGAAAATGCAGAATCCTCCAGAGCATAACTGTGCATGATTGGGATCGCTGGGTGGAGGAAGAACAGAAGGTGAATGTCCTGTTATTGTCACATAGGTTAGCATGGGGAAGGAAATTGTGACTCCTCCCCGATATCTGTCTAAGGAGCTTCTTTCTTCATGGATGTTGTTTAATTTGTCTTTTAATATTTAACTTATTGTGTTTTTAATTGTGTGAATGTTAATGTTGTGAGTCGCTTTGTGTCCCTTGTTCAGAGAAATGCAGCATGTAATTAAAACTAATAATAATAACAATATTCCCAGCTGCATCCTGGCATATGTCTTCTCTCTCTCATCTTTATACCCACTTTTAATATGACCTGCAGTTTCTTGGATCTTTGCCCAAAGCTACTTTACTATCAGGGCTCAGTCTGAGAACAATGTGAAATAATAAATGGCCTTGAATTCCTAACTTTTTCATTCATAGAGTAACCATTTGCAATCGTTTATAGCTCTCCCTTATGATAAAGTCTGTACAAGAGCAGATGGTTGCCTGCCTTTCATAAGAGTATGCAGTGAAAGTGGTAGGAGGGAAACCTGTCTCCCCAACCCCCCATATTTTGGGGGTTTGAGTTGGACAAGTTGATTATATTGCCCATAATAAATATGTGTGAGTTTTATTTTGATCATGATCAAGAGGATGATTTCTCTCTCTCACCTGTACTGCTTTCTGATGATAATCTGTTATTTTTCCCTGTCCTTTTTTTTTGGGGGGGGGCACTGGTTTTGAGGGTTCTGTGGGGCTCAATTGGCTATAGCATTAGAAACCAGAATGATAAAACTTTAATGAAAGAACCCCAAAATGCATGTATTTTGGGTTTTCCAAAACGACCTGTAATTTAAAACAGACATTCTCAATATTTTAGCCATGGTCGTAAAGAAAATATGAAAGAAATATAGGCCAAATCAGGATTATATAAGTTGCATGATGAACCTTATAAAGTGGTTTGTTAAGAATTGTTTCCAGTCTTTGGCCCCTTTGAAGTCTGCCAGGGGCCCCCAGGGGGCCATATGGCCCCCATTGAGAATGGCTGCTCTGAACAAACCACATCTGAAAGAGGAGCTCCCAGAAATACCCCAGAATGAAAGTAATGCAAAAGTTTTACTCCAGCAACCCCTACATAAAACTCCTATTACAACAGCTTCACTGGCTACCTTTCTATTTTTGAACCCAATTCAAAATGATGGCTATAACTAGAGATAGGTATGAATCACCAGTTTGTTTAGCAACCAAACAAGTGTTCAGTATTTCAAAGACTTGCATGCTCTGGCAGGTGGTTTCTCAGAGGCAGTGGCCTGGCTTCCCTGCCCACCTCCTCCTAATGCTGCCTCTGAATGGACACCCACCAGAGGAGGCAGGGCTTTGAAGTGCCAAACACCTGTTCATCTACTAAACAAACCAGGAAAAACCTCCAAACCAGCAGTTCATGCTCATCTCTGGTTATGACCTATAAAGCAAGCTCTGGATGGCTTGGATCCATGCTATCCGATATGAGCCTTCTTGGCTCTTAGGATCTTCAGGGGAGACCCTTCTGTCAGTCCTCTAACTTCAAAGATACATTTGGTGGGAATGCAAGTAAGTGCCTTCTCTGTGGCTGCTCCCAGGTTGTTGAATTCCCTCCCTGGGAAGGGAAGGTTGGCCCTCTCTCTCTTGTCCTTCAAGCAGCAAGTGAAGACGATCCTTTTTAGAGAGGCTTTTAACAACTGAATTGGGCTGTGAAGAATTTTGATTTTGGGTACTACACATTATTATTATTATTTTATGTGTATTTTAAGATTCTTTAAGGTGTTTTTCATTACGGACATGTGGTGGCGCTGTGGGTTAAACCGCAGAAGTCTTTGTGCTGCAAAGGTCAGAAAACCTGCAGTCGTAAGATAGAATCCACGGGACGGAGTGAGCACCTGCGCTTGTCCCAGCTCCCGCCAACCTAGCGGTTCAAAAGCATGCAAAATGCAAAATGTGGGTAGATAAATAGGTACCACCTCAGTGGGAGGGTAAATGGCGTTCCGTGCCTAGTTGTGCTGGCCACTTGACCATGGAGGATTGTCTTCGGACAAACGCTAGCTCTATGGGTTGGAAACGGAGATGAGCACCGCCCCCTAGAGTCGGACATGACTGGACAAATTGTCAAGGGGAACCTTTACCTAAGATGCTTTTCAGATGTTTTAATTACAGTGGTGCCTCGCAAGACGAGCACCCCGTTTAATGACAAAATCTCATCACAACGAACTTTTCACGATTGCAAAAGCGATAGCTTTACGATGTTTTAAATGGTTTTTTTTTCGCTTTGCGATGATCGGTTCCCTGCTTCGGGAACCGATTCTCGCAAAACGACAATTTTCGGCCAGCTGATCGGCAGTTTCAAAATGGCTGCCGGATTTAAAAAATGGCTCCCCGCTCTTTTCTGGGATGGATTTCTCGCTGCACAGGCAGCGAAAATGGCCGCACTATGGAGGATCTTCGCTGGACGGTGAGTTTCAAGCCCATAGGAATGCATTAATTGGGTTTTAATGCGTTTCTATGGGCTTTTTAAATTTCGCATTACGTTGTTGTTCTACAGTGATTTCGCTGGAACGAATTAACGTCGTAATGCGAGGCACCACTGTAATTGACTCTTTATTTCTAATTCAATAATGAACCGTGTTTTTAGCTGGCTTGTTTTTTAAATAATTTGTGAGCAGTCTTAAGACCTTTCACTCAAAGAAAAGTGGCACAAAAATGAAAACAAACAAATGTGAAGCAAAGCAATGTCTGCTGCTTATATACCACCCCATAGTGCTTAAAGCTCTCTTTGGGCTATTTACAGCTTAATTATGCAGGTGACACATGGCACCAGTCCCAGGCTGGGCACTCAGTATACGGAAGGATGGAAGGTTGAGTCAGCCTTGAGCCAGCTACCTGAGCTCAGGATCAAATTCAGGCCATGAGCAGTCTTCCCTTCAGTACTTGTTTAACCACTTTACCATGAGACAGTGGTTCAGTAGTTGATTAAACAAACAAACAGACAGACAAGCAAGCAAACGAACAAATGAATGAACGAACGAACGAATGAATGAATGAATGAATGAATGAATGAATGAATGAATGTTTTGCCATGCTGATTCCTATGATTGAAGTTGCTTAAGATCTGAGCAGGGGTGAAGATGAAAAGGTAAAGGTAAATTACTCCCCCATACTTGGACCACGAATGCCAACAGTTGTGTCTGCCAATTTCACTTTAACTTTATAAAGTGAAATAGCAGTTCAGAGTTCTATAGACAGCTTTGCCAATTCCTACTTTTGAGAGGCTGTCCTACTGTTTAGGTAAACTGTGATTATTTGCCCGTTTGAGCAGTCTTTGACTTTTCCACCTCTGTGAACCCCAACATGCCCCAAACTAGAAATCCAACTGATGATTCTGTTTAGGACTAAAAAATAGACCATCCACTGTATAACTTGTTCCAATAGTTTTGGACTAACAGACATTATTTCTTTATCCCTAAAATCCTGGGGAATAATGCCATATCATCCCTAGGTAATCTGATCCTGGAGGTTGAAGAAGAACCAACTTGAGGTTGCCAAGTTTTTCCTTTCTTCAAAAAAAAGAGTGGGGAGATAACATTCCTTCATCCATGAATATGATGGTGAAATGGGAGGAGACATTTCAGTTCAACAAATGTTGAAACCCTAGCCAGTTTTTATCTAGGAGATTATTTAAGAGTCTTCTTGAAGTACCAGCTTTCTAAAGTATAATTAAGATATACTAAGGGTAATGAATAAATAAACCTGGAAGAGTTCGAAAATTAATCATCCACTGTGAGATCTCCATTTACATACAAAGTATTTAAACATTTAGTTGTAGCACAGTCCCAGGCATTATTGGATGAAGTAAATTATCCTGATTGGTTTAATCTACCTGGATATTTGGACTGACACTTACCTTTTTCTCTTTGCTGAGTAAGGTCTGGTATACACCACCAGTGGGAGCCCTATTCATGGTATTGCTGAATTTCTCTATAGGTTCTTACTAGAGACTGGGCTATTCATATTCATATATGAATATGAATACCCCTGCACAGCTGGACATAACAAAGGTTATGTCTATCCACTCATGTGTCTGTTGCCACCAGCACTTCCACTCCCTCTTCCAATTGCTCCGGAATTCGCGGTTGGCTATCCAATTCTGGCAGAAGGAGGGAAGATGACTCTCCCTGCCAGGCTGATGAATGGATAGCCGACTATGAGCTCTGGAGCAATTGGAATGGCTGGACCCTCATTACACTCAGCAGTGCGGGGCTATTTGTCTATCTTTAGTTCTTATTGTACTTGTTTCATAATGACAACACAAAGGGCCACTTGGAAATAATTACAGGTAGAAATGTACAAGCGATTTTATGCTTACCCTGCAAATCAGCTGGAGCATTAGGGGATTTCACTCAGATGCTCAATACCTCTTAAGTGAAAGTTTGATTCCCTTTGATTGTTGCTATACGTCTCTATCCCCAGTGACTAAGGGAACTCACCCTGGGAGATAGGATGAGGTAAAAGAAGCTCTCTTAAGGATAGAGAAATACTGTGCTTTTCCTTCTAACAGTTTGTAAAGTGAATATATTGCTAGTATAGTGATGCTGGCAAAGTTTTTTCTGTTGGAGTTCATGGGGGATTGAGCTACGATAACCATTGATCTCCATTGATCTTGACAACTGCAGTTCAAATTCTCTTTGTTTTCTTCAGGTTTCTCCAAATTTCATTACAACCTTCCTTTGGCACATACTGTAAGCAAGTTACAATATGGATGCTTCCATAACCAGTGCTTCCTATACAATACAGTATGAAAACAAAAAATTAAGGTTTGTAATGGAACAGGGCTTTGGAAACTGCCACATAGGAAAAGATACTTTTTCTCCAATTCAAGTGTCATATTTCTGATAGAAGTGAAACTAACTATACCTGGATTTCATCTTTTGTTTCTGTTTTTGAAGTACCTTAGTGTATTTATTTTGCTTCTAATATCAACAGAAAAGGGTTAAAGCACTGCAGTCAGATCTAGATAAAAAAAGAAAGGAACATGAAAAGTTACAAGAAAAAATTCGCCGGAAATTAGCTGAACTTGAACAGCGTGTGGCTGAACAAACTGAACTACTATCAAAAAATAAAGAAAGACAAAAAAATCTTATTCAGGTAAATTAAAATTAGGAAACTGTGAAATGCTATGCTGTCAAATTTTGTTCTGTAAAATGGACAAATGTTCGCCTACTTTACTGAATTTAAGGAGTTCGAATTTGGAATGAACCAACAATCTCTTCAATTCCGTTAAAACTCAAACTTTTAATGAGGTTTTATAAGTTTTAATAATGTAAAATTAAAAGTAAATAATGGAATGTAGTTATTGATGGTTGTAGTCGCTTTGGTGAAACACAAAAAACTATACAACTAATAGTATTTTCAAACTAGCATGTTAATGGCAATGATTAATGCAGTTAGCCCTTCCCCAAGAAAATTTAGTGGAAAGAATGTAACAAAGACTACATCATTAGTCTTTTGGAGGCTTATGGGGGTGCGGCAGAAATGATGTATCTTTGTCTTAACTGTACATTTATTTTGGCTTCTAAACTTGAAAAGAAAGTTCATAGAAACATGGATGGATTAAAATCCAACACATGTCTAAATATCTAGGTCTATACATTGATATTGTGCCCGTATTTAATTATAGATATTATTCATCAACTTGCAGAATGGAATTGTTGAGTTTTCTAACAAGACGCTCACACACATGCACACTGGCAACACAGTGCAATTTTTAAAATGAAAGAAAACTGCAGTCCAAAAATAGGTTGTGAACAATCTTTATGATCACTGAATTTGTAGTGGAAATTGTGGATTATGTTATATTTGACATGCCTTGGCAATGATGTTGTATATATCCAGAATATTTGTATGATGAACGTTTTGACAACCCATCTCATGAGAAATGCAAATGCTAGCAAATTATAAATGGGTCCAGAAGTAAAATTCTTATCATGATGACTATGGAAATTAGATATAAATATGCAGATTTGGATTGTAGAACACCATGATTATTTCTGTAGAGAGTCTTGGACATGGGTTTCTATAACAATATTTTCTCATAATTGTGATAGTACAGTACTCCCTTCCTTCCTTCCTCCCTCCCTTCATTGAAATAGAGGAGAGTTTCAAAAGTTGAATTTCAACTTCATAGCCTATCATGGAGTTTTTTTTAAAAAAATGTTTTATTAATTTTCATAGGTATAGGGGTTATGATACAAACAGGGGGACCAGATAAAAAAGGAAAGGTGAGGGTAGAAAATTGTAAAATTCCAGTGAATTGGCAGGGGAGATACCTTAATCATGGATGTTTTTTTTTAAAGGGGAAAAATCCACTGGGTAACTCTCAAGTCCTTGAGAAATATTTGGATCTTGGCTGCTGCTGATCCCGCCATAGACAATATGGTCTATAATCTAGGAGAGTTGATGTCTACCCTCTTGAACTTATTGGGTGCACTTGGCAAGTTCTGTTAGCCTTGATTTCCACTGTCTAAACTCAGAGTGACAATTTGGAGGACTGTAAATTACTTAATTTGCTTAATGATTAACAACAATAACAACATACAAATACCATTCTTCTTCATTTAATAGCAGTGTTACTTTTGTCAGACATCTGCTGAAGCCAGCCTCCCAACTTCTGGTGCAAATCCTCAGAACTTTACGGTGCTGCTCCTTCTCTCCTTACTGTGAAAGCCAATTCATTCTGAACATTTGAGCAGTGACAGTATTGAGGAGATGGAGCAACATCTATTCCCCCCCCCCTTTGGTCAGCCATGTAGATTGGCCCTGGAGGGAGAGGGCAAATAATTGGCCAGTGGTGAAAGGGTGGGAGGAGATCTTACAAAGAGAGACATTAAGACTTTCTTGCAAGAGGATCCTTAAAAAAAAAAACTACTGGTCCTAGTATTCGTCCAGTTAAAAATATGCTGAAAAACAGAAGCAAAACAGCTTGTAATGTTAAAACCGTACAAATGAAACCTCTCTCTACTTAGAAGTATCTTGTCTTACCCAAAAAAACATGTTTCTATATAAAAGTGGAAAAAAAACCCTCCAAAATGAAATAAATTAAATGCTTCTTGTAAGAAAAATAGACATTGCTAATACTAACATATATTTATTTATTACACTTTTCACAGTATAAAAGTATAAAAATCAATCAATTAGCAATAAATACATTTTAATGGAACTAGTTGGTTTTTATTAGTAGCTCTTTGTCTCTGTTTCTGTATTTTAGGAAATTGCTGATATCAATCAGAAAATTCGAGAACTTGATGAAAAGGAGAAAAAAATTAAAAAACAGCTAGATGACCAGAAGAGTTCTTTGGAGTACCTCTTAGCTGATGTAAAGGTGAATATGTTGATGTTATTATTAATCATTTTGCTTGCTTATTTTAGAGGCCTTAGAGCAGGGGTCCCCAATGTTGGGCCTCCAGATGTTATTGGACTGCAACTCCCAGAAGCCCTGGCCAGCAGAGGTAGTAGTGAAGGCTTCTGGGATTTGTAGTCAAAGAACATCTGGAGGCCCAAGGTTGGGGACCACTGCCTTAGAGAATTTACTTTGCTTTGATATTTATGCTCAGTTACCTTAGATGTAAATGACATTCTGTATGTACTCTTTTGTTTCTTGCTAGAACTAGGCCTATAAGCCTGTACACATCAAACTTAACATTTGGACCATTGAGAATCCCACTGTTTCTTTGTTTGCTATAATATCTTAGAATGCTTTTTTTTGGGGGGGAAGATGATAATAACTATAAGGAAAAGCAAGGGTTGGACTACAACAAAAATAGCCTGCTGATTGCACCTTTGCACAGCAGATGGCATCTTTTTGTAAATTATGGTGCATACTTGCTGTAGTAGTTATCAAGTTGCCTATTTTAGCAAAGGAATTATTTTGGCTTCTACTACTGAACATTACATTTGTGTAAATTGTTATAATTACAGCTGTCATATGCAAATATGTTATTTACATTATTATTACATGCCATTGATATTTATTTATAGAAAATACAAGTGAGAAATTGAAAGTTATAGTTAAAGAGGTAAGTAGGCAGCTTTTCATTTAAATGCTATTTTAATCTTAGGTTTTGTTCAAAATTCCGACTTAGTTCTTCTCTAGTAATCCCACTTAAAAGAGTGTTGAGTAGCATGCAGCTGTATGCCTATTCTACGTTTCATCCTGTTAATAAATAATATACATTATCTCAGTGTGTAGCATATATATAGGAACACACTGAACAAACCTGCTCTTTTTTGGACCATCTACACTGTAGGCAAAGTCTGAAATTTAAGTTTTTACTTAAATATGTGACATGTATCTACATCAGATTGACTTGTTTAGAATTTGGCATACTTGCATCTTGTTTTCCCTTGTTCTTCACCCCCACAGCCTTATTCCCGATAAATTAATTTTAATATCTGGACATTTGGTTGAAAGGTATTAAAAGGGAATTTGTCATGAAAACCTTTGTCACATGCAAAGCTGCACAGTTGTTAAGCTACTCTCATGCTTTCTTAGGATATTTCAAAATATTTTGTTAAGTGCTGTGTCTTCTAGCTTGGGATAAACGAATCCAAAAGAGGTTTCCTACTCTTTTACTGGGCTGAAGGAAAAAGTCTCTGATTGGAAGGCTGAAAAACTTCCCAAGCTGCTCAGTTGAGCAGGTTTTATCATAAGGTTAATATGACTGGTGACAATGTACAGTAACATCATTTACTGTATTTGGGAGGAGGCAGAGCAAGAATTGAGCATGCAGAACAGGTTTTATAAAGTTGAAATGCACAGTGTCTCATGGGAAATGAAACAGCTTGAACTATCCCTTTTGATCAGCTTACAGAAGGTATTCTAGAACTCAGAATGTTATCTCTATTATTTTAACCATTTAACAGCAGTGTTGCTCTGATCTGAATGGCTGGACATTAGCTCCATTTGTTCCAGTGGATACCCAGCTTTTCAAAATAAATTCTAAGTCATGTGAAGTTGAAGGAAATCAGGTCAGGACTAATTTTCAGAGGCAGGGAGGAGTGTTTTTTTATAGCCAAATCAAATGCCCCAAGCCATCTGTCCTTACAAGTACAAGGGAATGGGAGGATGCTGCCCAGCTCAGCCAATGTGACATTGTCCAGGCTCAGCAGACCAGGCAGCAAGTGGGGGAGAGAAGAAAATACAGGGCAAACAAAGAAGAAAGTGTTGCATGAAAGCTACACTGCATCCTGCATCCCACTGCATATGCTCCCTTTTGTCTTGCCCCAGATAAAGTATTGTGTGACCGGTATTAATTCAGCAATTTAAGAATGTCCTTCAATTCCTTCTGTAGTTGATGTGTTAGGTTGCCATCAGCCTGTTATTTATATTGCAGTGCTAATAATTGCTTTTAATACATATATTTTAAATCTGCAGATTGCTTTGGGATATTTCTTTTTCTTTTGTTTAAAATGTTTTCTATTTTGCCCTAACCTCACAAGGCTGTTCTAAGTAGGTGGGGAATCCCAGTAACAATGCTTTGGGCAACATGAAGAGAAGACCCAACTGAAATGAAATTGAATAAGTAAAACAACCAAGACTTGAATTATAGGCAGAGCTGAAACAGGAGAACAAGTGGTTATAACCATTGTTTTAAACGATTTATAAGACTGATTTTGCTACTTCATTCTGAATCCTTAGTGTTCCTGATGAATGTCAGGAACATGGATCTAAATCTAGGTTGCACTGGTACTGCTGCATCAGTGCAGCAGAACTCCTACACCCACACCCACACCCACACTCACACCCCCCAACCACACACACACATTCTAGCACTACTCAAGAACAGATCTGAGAGCATTTCATAGCGCCTAGAATGTGTTTAGGAGGAGAACTGGGAGCTAAAGTATGGGAGAGAGATCAATCCTCTCCTCACATTCTTGTTTAAGTCCTTGCAATGTAGTCCATGCTGAATAAATCAGGCACTAAGTTCCTTGTTTACTATTGGGCTCACTAATGATTCAGGCTAAATTTTAGCCCCCGACTGAGTATACTGATTAATTGGTAAAAGCTTCACTCCTTACAAGTTTTCCCTGAATTAGATATATGTGCACACTGCAGTCGTCTCCCTGTATATTGCTATGCTCTTATATGGGCTTGAGGGCCTGGCCACCCAACAGATGGCACTGTCAGCTTTGAGATTGTCACTCTCCAGTTTGGGAAGGACAGGAAATCTAATTCCAAGCTCTCTTTCCCTTCTCGCCACTGCCTTACTGAGGAAAGATTGGAAAGGGGGCCTGAGCTTGTTTTCTCACTCTCTCTGAGAGTGAATGAGAGTGTTGTGATTGCTGACAGTACTGATAATCTGTTTGGCAGTGTGCATATGGCTGCCAAAGTGATTCTAAAGCTGAATTTGCAGAACCCTTTAAGGGTATGTGGTTTCTGGTCCAAGATTGTGAAACAAGCTTGGATATAGGGAGATTATTTTTTTCACATGTGATAAATCTTTAGTTGTTTAACTGCATTTTTTGCATTAATCTGCATTTCTAAAAATAATGAAAATTAAATACATATTTGCAAAAGAAGTTCACAGAAGGTTCTAGCCTTCAATTTTTATACTAGGCTGCTAAGAAGTTAATAGCCTGCAGTTCCATGCTAATGACAGAAGATGAAAAAAGTATTTCTCAGTACAGTTAGTTACCATGGACATGCATGCAGCTTACCTCTTAGTAGGCTAGTAAAAAAAAGATTTCTATCAAAAGATTGGTAGAGGAAAGTCAGAATGATCCATTCTTCCTTTGATATAATACTGTACTTGCATGGCGGTCTTGAGAAAGGGGGATTTCCTTCATATGGGCTAGCAGAAGAGCATAATAATGCACTTCACTTTACCTAGTCTATGCACTTGCCTTTGTGGAATTTCATAGTCTCTGTGCACAACCTAACACATATGGATTTTGTACCTCTATAGAGCCCTGCTATGGAAACTTCAGTAGCTAAGACTTAGAAAGGGGTGCCCTTCTTCCTTAATGCACATGCTCATGTAGGGTACTACTTAGTGCTACTGTACCCATGACGGCAGTAGCATATGCAGGATCTCTCTCATCAGAGTCAATTCTTGTGTGAGCTTATTTCTTCCTCCTATCTGTCTCACTCTTTGTCACCACTCACCACACATACTTTTCATTTTCAAGCTATAACTGCTGCATCTGTCCAGGGTATACTTCCTTCTATTATCAGTATGCCTCCTCAACCATAATTACTGTGCTCATCCAACTTAGTTCCAATTTGCCTTTGTACTGCAGCACCAGTGTGATGAATGTTCCCTCTTCCCCAACACCTCACAGCTACTCAGTAGTAGACTCCAGGACAGAACAGTAACAAGAGGGGAACAAATGGGGCTTTGCCCCAGGGCACCAATATTTGGCATCAAAATCTAGAGGTGAACTTGTTGGTGAGTGTTAAGGCAATCAATTGCAACACCTCGTCTTTACTTTTTAAAGAAAACATACACTATCTTTTTCTCACACGGGACACCACATTTTCCATCTCCTTTGTCATGGGGACTTGAGCCCATGCCTCATGGCAGTGTGGGAGGGAGGCTCTCCTCCTTGTCCTGGGTGCCCAAATGCCAATTAAAGCTATGTTCCAGAGGTTTTCACAGCCCTCCAGAGCAGCTTTTGGAAGTGTACTGGGGCTGCAGTGTGGCGGTGAGATCATAGGGCCCTCAGAATGGTTGTTCTTAAATCACAGCTATGCTTTCTTGATGACCACCATCTCTGTAAACCATCCATCACTGCTAATGTTGTGCATTCAACCTTAGTCTTCCAGCTGCTACTGACTGCTTGAGTACAATCACAGTATTTCTGCCAGTGAGTTTTGTTGTGTTATAGATTAGTGTCAACGATGACATCACCTACAGTACTGACAATTTTATAACAGATAATTTTCCAGGCTTTCAGTACTGTGCATCAACATCAACATTAAGTTTCAGTTCATTCTCAGTACCATCTATCTATTTTGCAACCTATTTTAAGAAAGCTCCTTATTATTTCTTTAATTATTATTAATTTAAAATATTTTTATGCCACCTTTCTCCTTGAAAGGACCCGAGGTGGCATGTCGGCATCCCCTTTTTCCAGTCTTTCTTCATCAACTGATCCTCATCCGTTAGCAATGGTTTCTTGCTAACAGGAATAGTTGGATAAGACCTTCACTTCTAGCACCCATGTATTAACCTATCTATTAAAAAAGAAGGAAACCCTTCATCTTAAAAAGACACCTTTGACTCAGTTTGCCCTACTGTTACTACTACTAATCTGCTTGCTTCACTAACAATAAAACCTCCTGCCTTGGGAAACTCACTTGAAACATATGTAAATGCT